ACAATGAATTCAAGCGATTGACACATTGCCATGAATACACTTGATAACTGCTTGCAGACTTCCAATGGACATTGTTTATGTTTGGACTCTTGAAACAATAGAAAAATAAAGGGTTGGGCAACTACTCTTTTGTTTAGGCTTGGGAAGAACAATGCAAGCTTTTTACAAATAATTTCAGCTGGATGTACGTTGGTGGGCGGGTGTTGAGAGTTACTGGGCGGCCGTAAAACTTGATGGGCGGGCCGCCCACCTAAAACCCCTTGTGGAGAACACTGTGCTCAGTGCCGCAAACTATCCCTGGTAAACTACATGAAGTATGTTGGGCAAGATTGTAATAGTGGTTTATTATTATTATTTTAGATGATGCAGAGGAGCACCAAATGCCAGAAATAATTTGTACACCTTCTAATGAAGTAGCTATTGAAGAAGAGAAAAATGTTGCTAATGTTAGCGAACCTACTCATCCTACGGAAACTTCCATTATTGATACATGTACTGATGATAAAGAACTTTGTGGTACAGGCTCAAGTACTGTTTCATTTTCTGTCTCGGCAACCAATACTACAAGTACCTCTGATATTGTAGGTGTGGGTACTGCTGCCCTTTCCAGTACAGTTATGGATGCTGGTACTGGTGCTTCTTCTAGTACCAGTATTACAGTCACCTCTGATTCTGTTATGAATGCTGGCAGTACTGCTGCCTCTTCTGATACATTTATGGATGCTTGTACTGCTGCTCCTTCTAGTACAGTTATGGAAGTTGGTACAACAGCCCAATCTGGTACAGTTAGGGATGTTGACGCTCCTGCGCCATCGGATGCAGTTATCAATGACAGTACTGCTCCCTCATGTGGTGAAGTTGGAGATGCTGATACCATCGTTGACAATACAACTACCACTTCTGATATGATTATGGCTGTGGATACTACAACCCACTCTAGTGCAGCTGTGGATGACAATATTGCTGTCCCCTCTAGTACAGGTATGGATACTGGTAGTGCTGTCCATTCTAGTACAGATATGGGTGCTGATACTACTGTCCCCTCAAGTACAGTTATGAATTCTGGTGATGTTGTTTCTTCTAATACAGCTATGGAGGATGTCTCCTCCAATACAGCTATGGATGCTGGTATAGCTGTCCCCTCTAGTACAGCTATGAATACTTGTGATGCTGTCCCCTCTAATACTCCGTTGGATGCTGGTGATGCTGTTTCGTCTAATACAGTGATGGGTGCCGGTATTGCTGTCCCCTCTAATACTCCGTTGGATGCTGGTGATGCTGTTTCGTCTAATACAGTGATGGGTGCCGGTATTGCTGTCCCTTCTAATACTGCGATGGATGTTGGTGATGCTGTTTCCTCTAATACAGCAATGGATACTAGTATTGCCACTGTTCCCTCAAGTACAGTTGTTAGTGCTGGTGCAGGTGCAGTTGTCCCTTCTGGTTCATCAGAAGAAGCAGACAGGGTTCCACCTACTACTAGTATTGCAGAGACTCCTTCAGTAATGACAGCTACCTTAAGAGAGAGTGATGATGGTACTTGGATAATAACAAGCATGGATGGGAAAGCTCTTCATCATATTTCACACGCTTCAGAACCAGGCACAGGTACTGAAGAAGAAACTGTTTTTTATGCTATTGAGCCGGAGAGTGTTGAGGAGAAAGGACAGGAAGTCTGCAATCCAGATGTTCTTGTTGCTGCATTAGAAAATTTGAAAGAAGATTTTCAACAGGCTATGATAAAGGGTTGTGATGAAAAATCAGATAGTAAGGAATCAGATGTAGTGAAAAAGGCCGTGGTGAATAAGAAACCACCTCAGCTGGAAGTTGGTGAAATCCCTTTTGGGCAAAAGGGTGTTCTCAAGTTGCAACCAGAAGAAGACGAAGAAGATGATGATGATGAAGAAGAAGAAATTGTGGTGAAACCCCCTGAAATTCAAAAAAGTGAAAGGTCTGGAAGAACCATTAAGAGGCCAGCACATTTTTGTGATATGGAACTTGAGGATTGGACTCCAAGCAAGGATACGGGTAGGAAGAGGTATCGACGTAGAAACAAGGAAGTCAGTGCTTCAAACAAACAGTATGCTTGTGATCTTTGTTCTGAGGCTTTTGTTAAAGAATCAACATTAGATCATCACTATGATGATGTGCATACTGGTCCCTACAAATGTGAGGGTTGTGAAAAGGAGTTTCCTAAAAAAGCTCAATTGAAAACACATGAAAAAATACATCTTGGTGACAGACCATTCAAATGTGACAAATGTGAAAAAGCATTTCCGTATTCTTCACATCTGACTGTACATCGAAGAATTCACACTGGTGAAAAACCATACCAGTGTGAGTATTGTGGAAAAGGATTTGTAGCATCTTGTGACCTAAAACGACACATTCGCAGCCATATTGGACTGAAACCACACGACTGTACATTATGTGAGAGGTCGTTTGCAGCGATGTCTGATTTAAGAAGACACATGAAAACACACACTGGAAAGAAAAGCCATGAATGCAACAACTGTGGCAAGATGTTTGCAAGAGCTGATAGTCTAAGACTGCATAAGCAATTAATTCATCAAGAAATCCATGAAGCATATCAGTGTGATGAGTGTGAAAAAATCTTTATGCAAATGAGGTACCTACGTGCACATCAGAAATATTTGCATGAGGAGGACGGCCCATATACAATAATGCCAAAAAGTGCAGCAGATAATATTCTTGCTCAACAAAAAGCAAAGCGTGATGCTGAGTCTTCATCAAAGACTGACAAACAGAATGAAGAGAAGAGTGATGGGGAATATACATACACTTTACCTCCTACTTCGAATAACACAACAGCCTCAGTTGGCGGTGATACTCCAACTACTGCGACTGTAACTACAGCAGAAACCAGCACAACCGTCACTGCAACAGCAACTGAAGGAACATCTGAAAACTCCCAAGAATCCCAAGCATCAACAAAAGCAGTTAAAAACATTATAGTATTTTTGAAACAAGATAGTGGAACAGTTCAGTGTGAAAATGGTGAAGTAATAAGTCAAACTGTTCAACAGATTGAGCTCCCACTCGATGGTTTAGATGGGGATATTTCAGGTGAAGCGTTACAAGAAGTAGCTCTGCAAGCTATGCAGCAAATATCATCTGGAGAGAATATAGAACAAATTGTGATTCACCAAGTCACAAATCCATAGACCTCTACTCTCGCATCATGTCATAATAATCTTTATTCACAAAGTTAATATAAATTTTTTGTATAATTGCTGCTCTGATATTGATATCTCTTCTAATCCATTGATATATTTTCTAATCTAACTGATCAGCTGCATAACTTTTGAATAGTTTAAAGTATATTTTGCTGGTATCCAGAGACATTTCTTGTTTATAATAGCAACAAAGTGTTAACATGTTACTCTGACCTCCTCACTCACAACACTGCTTTTGCTTTCATCAAGAGGTATTTGTTGTATCATTTATGGAGCCTGAGATGATCATCCACCATGTGTATATATACTAATCTTGTTCACTTTTACAAATGGTTTATGCCAAGATTCTTTTAATCATGAAGACAGACAGACAAATATCAAATAAAAGAAGCAATAGGAGAAGTATGAAAAGCTGTAGTTAGCGTAAACATTGAAATTGTTGGTTGTATTTTTCATCTGTGCTTGTTTGAGCAGAGAGGTGTGTATGAATAGTGAAACGTGTTGGGTCACTTCGTGGGTGGGCATTAGTTTTTTTTCCATAGTGCGAATGCAACTTGTTCATGACAGAATTATGGATAACTTTTTCCAAAAGCAACATTATTAACATTAAATTACAATTAACGTGACCAAAAATTAATATACGACTTGGGGAAGGGGGGGGGGGGTAGGGAAGTTGCTTGATTCAAAATTTGCTTTGGGGACACAAAAAAAATGTATTTTGAATTTCTTTTTGAAAACTCCTAGCTCAATTACCTTGATACTTGATATCATTTGCAACAAGATTGTATTTGCCAATGCAACAAGATTGTATTTGCCATTGCAACAACTATTTAAACTACATGTACCACATTTGTGATATGGCAAGAACATTGTTGTAAAAGTCATCATGACATAGTGTAGAACATTTAACAACTTTGTTTTGAGGAAGACATCCTACAGACAGTGGAGCTATTTCAACCATGAGGTCACTTAACAAATATATTTGTCATTTTTAGTAAAAAATTAGTCTTCTTTAAAACTACCAGCTGGATTGCTTTGGTATGCAAAAACCTTTGATGGACTGGTATGAGGTTGGTAACTATTGCAACCATATAAACTACATTGGTTGTGACATTACAAGTACATTGTGGTAATAATCATTACAAATGGCTAAAATTTCATCATACAGTTTTGAAGAACATAGTCTACAAAGACAGCACAGCTCTTTCAATTGTGTGGTCGCTTGCTAAACAAAACAAGTCTGAGCATACAAAATATGGCTTTGAAATGACATAAGTATCAAGCTCTAGAAGTGATCAGGTGATAACTTTTTTTAAAACGTTCTACTTTGAGAATCAATTTGACAGAAATCATTATTTCACTGAACTGCACACCGCTGGTACTGGTGCAAGATTTTGTATACTATGAGGTTATTACGAGGAGACCTAAAAGTATGCACATAGACAGTACAGCGTGGTTCGATGTGACAGCGTACTGAGTGCATACTTTGAGGTATTCTCGTAATAACCTTATTATACATCTTTGCCTTCCAAGGATACATCATAGGAATGCCGAAATCCAAAATATTTAGAACAGAATCGGCGAACTTCTTTGTGTAGTGTTCGTTCAAACTCTGGTGGCAGCCAGCTAACGTGCATAATCATTCCATATTTGGAATTTGCATTTCCTTGTATGGTAGGATGAAATTGACCCGTAAAATACTGCAAAATTACGGCATGCTGTAACTTGTGGCGTTACGGTGACAGATGTATAATTGGTACTGTATGAGCACACAGACTGTTAGCGTTGATATCTAATATTTCACACCAAATGTCACTTACTGTGAATGATATACCCCCATGGTCATGTAACAAAAATTGGTATTCTCATTTTGAGGTATAATATGATCAAACCTGTTTCTGATTAGTACATTTCATATGATTTTTGTACATTTTTTTTTTCTGGCTTGAAACAACCTACCACCACCACCACCACCACAAAACAAGAGTTTGTGTATGTTCTGAAAAGAACAGCCAATCTACAAAAAATCCTTTTTTTTTTGCCTTGCGAGTTGATAATTAAACATATCTGATGTTAATTATAACACACAAATATCTTGCAGGCATGAACAAATAGCGTTGAAGCAGATTATATCCAGTCTATATCACATGCTGATTGCAGGCCTCAGTCTCGGGCAGGTCCATTACAAGGCTTGAAACTGAAGAAAGAGACGTCACATTTATTTGATTACCACTTGTACGCCAACTGACTATGAATTGTGGGTACAAAGTTGCACCACTGCGTGACATATCTATAGCTCTATGCTACACCCGGGGCCCATTTCATTTAATCACTATTGCAAGTTGGTACTTATCTCCGTGTTTCAGATCTACCTTGAAAATAAGGTTATTACCCGGTACATGTAATATGAATAACCATCCCTGGGGTGTATCACTTTATTTTAAACTGCTTTAGGAGACAAAATAAAAAGCAGGTCACTGACCTTTTTTTCAATATGGATGTTTAAGTTTTAATATTTCGACTCTGAATTCAATTTGAATGGCTTGCATGTGGACAATATCAATCATAGGTGTAGTATTTGCAATAGTACATTTTCCCTCCAGACAAATCGATTAATATATGCCCTATAGTGATACGCGTTTGCTGACAAATTGTTAGCTTAAATATGGGTGAACAAAAAACAGTGTGCATATGTGCGTTATGAAGTATGCTGTAGCGATAAAGTTTGAAAATGATTACTCATGGCATGTCGGAGATGCAGCTCCGGAACAGCATTTTTTTTTTTTTTTTTTAAATGGCTGCTAATTTTGAATCTGATATGAAAAAAATACGTCTATCAAGGTGTCATTATTTGTAATGTTGAACGAAATCCATCCATACACTACCGAGATCCGGCTCCAGAATAATCTCAGAAATGTTTGGTTTCGGTAATTTTGAGCATAAACATTATGGCTGCCATTGAATCAGTCTTGAATCATTATTAGACCATAAGACGAATGGATCTGCATGTATCCCAAAATGTATGTGTGATGTTTGAATGTACGCACGCACTCAGGCGGACGGATGGGCTGGCGCACTGATAACTCCACAAGTCCAGGAATGGTGACCAAAAAGCTTGTTGGTAAAAAGAAGTCGGCATATACTTACATATATGATTATTTAGAATGTAAAAATTGTTATTCTCGAACAAAACTAGGATACTTTTATATATTGAGAAGAAGCAATGACTTTAACAACACTCTCCACGAATTTCATGAGCTAACGAAAAACTTGTACACCATATGTGTAACAAAATATCATCTCCATCATAAAATGTGAATTTGAAAAACATTCACTTCTGACACAAGTCTTGATGTGCTTGTGCAATCACACTCATTTATATTACATACATATTATATATACAGAACAATACTCTAAAACTACAATAAAATCGTTTATGATTTTCACTATGAATTCCTATTGTGGGTGTATTTGGGAGACGAAAATGTGATCATCTTCAATTGGGAGTTATTAACAGAGTGCCGTCATTATTAACTAGCAGACGACCTTTACGGCATTACAAATAGGAACTGCTTATTCTTTCTTGCCAAATTCTCTTATAAACTCAAAACACATGTTAACAATGGAAACATAATATCACAATACCGTGATCCCGATGTCTTAGGACATTTATAAAGTACAAGACGTCTAATTTAAAACAGATTTCTATGTTGAGACGATGTGATTAACAATCACGGATTTAAAAAGTTTGGTGACTAATACACTGAGGTTTGATGATACAATCGTCACAGCTGGAACCAGCCAATGAGAAACCAGCATGTATATGGCACGCGATCATGACTTTGGGCTTTTCCCGCAAATAGCGCCCTCTTTACATTTCGTTTGACCGACTTTATTTCATTAATGTGGGGGGGGGGCAAGGGTTATTTTCGTTCAACGTAATTACAATATTTTTTTTTTTCGTACAACGTAAATTGAAAAAATAAACTCCGTAATTCTGTAATCACAGGCTAGACGTACAACGTTATCAATCAAATATTTTTTTCGCACACTGTAAAAATATGTCATTTTTCTCGGTACCTACAAGAATTTACATCCAAATAAAAAAACGTCGTAAAGAATAATCAAGGGAAATTTCATTTTCTAAACTGTAAAACGACTAGATGACACAATTCTCTGAAAAATTCAATTTTCACTGTAAAAACTTTTTTTTTTTTCTTGTAAATTATAAAAAGCCATTTTTTTTCCGTAAAACTGTACCAGCTACCCTCCTTGCCTCCCCTCTTAATGCCATTGTAAAATATGCATTTGTGCAGAATTGCACGTAACTGATACATTGTTTGACAGTGCCGGGAATCCTAACAAGAAAGCCCCTTCCTCCATACTGTATCATTGACGGCATGGTGAACTTTAATGCATTAATCACCCTGACAAATTGAAAAACTGCACTTACCAGACAACTTACACTTCGTTGGGATAACAAAAATAATATATATTAATTTATTTATTACTGTTTCAATTTATTGAACTTCAATTAAATCAAACAGACCTTCTTCCAATATGTGTACTATTAAATTGGCCATCTGTCAATCACATTTCCCCCAATATACCTGCCCACCACATACACGTCATGGTTTTCCTGCTGTTCAGTATGTATACTGAGGAAGTGCACTTTAAGCGATACACAAGTCATACTCAATAGCGTCATGCGCCCACGGACAGCGTAGACCTGATTACTAGCATATAATGATTGGTGACGTACTGGATTCCCGGTGATTGGGCAAACATTTGCCGGTTCTTGCTGATCGTCCGCTGTACTCGTCGGTTAAGGGTCCAAATACGAAAGACGGTCGTCTCCAAGTTAAATTCAACATGGCGATAGAAACTCACAAGTCCGACATCGCTCTAGTTGCAGTCTATATATCTTCTGTAATCGTTGTAGGCTTTTTGGTAAGTTTGCTCCGGCATGCCCGTAATATGTTTCCGGTAAGGTCGCCTTACCTGAGTGCCGACATGCATCATTGTGTGGGTCAATACGCGAGGTCGCTGAGTTCACGATGACAGGTACTGTATAGAGGATCACAACTCTGTCGTTGGAGAGTGGTTATGTGTAAATTTGGTATGTTTACTTGAAATGCACAAGTGACAGAAACTATTACTTTGCGGTTTGTGGTCAAGATACATATAAAGAATGTTATATGTACGTTGACCAATCCATATATCCCATTACCGGAACGCCATTACCATTAATACATCGGCACAGGGACTATTTTCACCACGCCTTGGTTCAGCGACCCTAAATAACTTTTAATTCATGATTTAACACATATACCTGCGTTTATATATGACTCGAGATAACAATGCGAATTCATTCGTGGCGTGTAGGCACGGCGTGTCACCATTACATGTACTTAGCTCATATCCTAGCTGCCAACTTAAGGTATGTGCTGAGGTGCCTCGATAAAAGTCCTGATTAAACAAATGATTACATGCGCAATCCACGGTTAATGATAATTTCCCTATATAACATTTTTGAAGCCGGTATCCACTGGAATTGAACTGTCTAACGTGCCAGAGAGCACAGTATTGAGTGGGTGTACGCCAAGATACTGTGTATATCGTATTCTGTTGTTATTGAGGTAACCGCAGTCCCTGTGGAGGGACTGTGGTGTAACCATTGTGTGGTTTTGTTCAACTTACAAAGATGTGTGTTGTTTATACTCATAGAGTTGCAAGAGGTCGAACAGGGGTACTAACACTGGGTTCTTACTAACTGGACGAAATACTACATTTTTATCGGTAAGTTTTACCTTTTGGATTCCTATCGAGCTGCCAGTGTGCGTGTCAACCGGGTGAAGTGGGGTCTACTATTGTTGGGAGTCATGATGTCAGGTGACATTCGTTATTATAATCAACACTTGGCACTAAATGGTCGAGTACAATGTCATATTATTAATTCACGCATATGTATACAAATAACGCGTGCCTGGCAGCGTTTTTATTCTGAAGTGAAGTGAAGTAAATGTACAATTATTCCCCTGTTGCGTGGCATGCATGTCGATCGGACAGAAACGAGGGAACATCCTTAATCGTACAAGTATGATGTATACGGTCAATGGTTCACTATTTTATTATGTGTTTCTCGGAATCGATTTTCCACAAATACTGTGCCATTTGTTAGATTTGATTGGTTTAGTTAGTATTTTCACTTTCTGTACTATAGTCTATATCAGTTATTACCAGGAATAGTCACTATAACCTCTATAACAATATGCCATTCTTCCATAATACAATATCATTTGTTTGCAGCTTGGACTGTCACTGTTTGCTACCAACTTGGGCGCTGGTTACATCATAGGTGTGTCATCTCTTGGAGCTGCATGGGGTGTCGCTGTTGCAGCCTATCCACTCATGGTTAGTCGCGCAATATGACAATGTTATCATAGTTGTAAGCAGTTGACCATTATCAAGTGTGGGGAGGATAGTAAAACTACTGTACAATATTCTTCTTCTTCTAATTTGAGCTATGATCACGATGATAATGCTGTATTTGTGGGATTTTTTTTCTGAAACTATCTGTAATTTTTTCTTTCTTTAAAATTGTCTCTGTGCAGATTATTATCTTCTTCATACATTCTAAGTGTCATCTCCTAAAATGATGACTATATGGGAGTCACACCGAACAAATGTTGCAGTGAAAACCAAAAAAATCTGTGTAAGGGTGTCTGAGTTTAGAATTGAATATCTATATTTAAAAGATGTAATGGTGTATGTTCATGGGAATATGCAACATACAATTTTCGAGCTCCACCGTTACCTTAGAAACTTGCGCGCTTTGGTGTAAAAACGTTCCAATTTCCTGTGCGTATGGGGCAATCTCCTTCCCATAAGTCCTTTCGCTTTATAATCACTTGTGATTCGTTTATTCATGGTAATCACTTTCACTTTAGATTATTAGAACTTGTCCTGAATTAAACTTGTTTGTATTCACTGATAGTTTATTGACTGTTACTTTGCCGATTACGTTGCAGTTTAGAATAGCAGTCAGGCTTGACAAAACAGTAATTTCAGTTGTCTGCATACTATGAACATTAGAACCCAAACGACACACTAGATAGAATGTTGAAACGCTGTGGTCTGAAATCAAGATTATTGACCCATATTTTCTTGACATTACAAATTTATTAAACGCGTATGTCAAGAATAAGTTGCCCCTTTGCGTATCCATAATTTCACTTGAAACGCCGCCAGTGTATACATTTATTAACTCGATTTAACACAATATTGATTCAATGCTTCTCCAGGCAATATTTGTGTCACTATTTTATGTATTTTAACTGCTGTCTCTATATTATTTATTTCATATAGAGTATACTGTCTTTGCTGTTGCTAGGTTGGGGATTTGGACCCGTGTACATGGCTTCCGGGGTGAGTATTCTGATTGACTAACCAAAACATAACACAAACACGATGGTGTTGTACATGGTAGATTTAATTATCCTTCGAACTACAGACAGTTTAATAAGACCTACTTTTTGCTTCAACAAACGTATAACACGGTGAACTTTGCTCAATTATTACCTCGCCTACAACGCCGGATCCCGTCGACATCTAATTGTAACGCAGTTTAAGCAAACACATTTTATCGATGACGAAACGCATCGCTCAGATAACTGGGCGATAAAGTAAATGAAAGTGAGAGCGAAAGTTAGTTCAAAATTTGCAAAGTAATGTGACGCCATCCTAATTCCCACCGAAATGATTAAACGTAAAACCAGATATAAATGTTATATTTCACTGTACAATCAAAGCCATGAATCTATTTTACTAATTGTTAGAAATATTCATAAATTTCACAATTCAAATTGAAACGAGAGTTTGTATTGGTCCAGGGAATAACATTGGTACATTGTTTTCAAATGACGTCATTGCGCACATCACTCGTTGGCTATTTGATTTAAACTGTCATTGAAATTTATAAATATTTATAAAAATAAGAATGGGCTTGTGCTGTCGATAGTACATGTTTATGATTTAATTTTGTAAAAAACTTCAGTTCAATTGACAACGTATCAGCTATAAGTTATACATTGTACAAAATGCTGAAAACTAGTTGTAAATCTCAGCCAATCTAATGATTGTTACCTTTCACTTTTATAATGATAATGATGTACCGCGAAACTCTAGAATCTATTCAACCTGATTCAAATATTAGTATTAACTGAAATACTCATGAAAAAAGTAAAACCCGTATCAGATTTTATATTCTTATAATATAACATTCCACTACATATCACAGTTTCGATTATTGCGTTCAATGTAGCGTTATGGCGTTGGGGCGCACTTCGTCTCATTGCGTTTTTGATATTGTACTTCATCACGTAGGCAAAGACACTGCCAGAGTACTTATCGCTTCGGTATGGTGGAGAGAGACTTACAGTGTTCATGTCAGTGTTTTCTATAATACTGTATGTATTCACAAGGATAGCGGTAAGTAACAGTGAACTGTACACTCATCGTACGTTCATAATCGAAATGAGACTTAAAGCGCGGTGGTCGTCGCAATGCGCGTGTTCGAATTTCATGTAAATAAACAATGTATTTTACACGCGTTGTATACGTCGCTGTGAGTCCCATATCGAACAGGGTGCGGCAGGACGACTGCCACCTTTTAACATATAATTTCCATGCCTAATAGTTGAGACATCCCGGATTTGATAAGATGAATACTATTAATACCCTGTGTGTATGTCTACTGCATTAATACCCTGTGTGTATGCCTACTGCATTAATACCCTGTGTGTATGCCTACTGCATTAATATCCTGTGTGTATGCCTACTGCATTAACACCCTCTGTATGCCTACTGCATTAATACCCTGTGTGTATGCTTACTGCATATGACTATTCGTCAGTTTTCTCCAAATTTCCATTAATATACACAATTCCAATTTTAACGTACATCTTTAATCGCAACTTTATAACTGGACTTGAACAGTAAATATACTCTTATTTTTCTTGCAGGTTAATATTTATGGTCTAGTTATATTTATAAAATACACTTTTGACTGGAATTTATATTATACCATTATTGGTATGGTGGCACTAGTTACACTTATAACTGCCGTGGGTATGTACATGTATTATTTTTGTACAGTTTCTCTGACACAGTAAGCACTTTCTTTCTTAACTTAGTTATACTAATTTTGTTGTAATATATATTTTTTTGGTTTTAGGTGGTATGAAATCTGTTCTATATACAGGTGTATTGTACACACCCATCATTATCATTGGTGCTGTTGTTCTCGCTGCATTTGGTACGTATTGAAATAAATAGAACGACAATACGAGTGACCTCTCTGTCACGAAATTGTGATATACCACGTCCTCTAGAGGCAAATAACTACCCATGATGCACTGACAGCAAGTAAGAACATCAGAATGTAAACACCATCATTCCTCTATATTACAGCATTTATGGAAGCCGGTGGATACTCTGGTCTTACAAACAATCTATTAAGAGTGTTTCCGGCATTTCCCACTTTTTTTCTGACCAATGCAAGTACTTGCAGAGATCCATCAGAAGACGCTTTTCATATCTTCCATGGGTTAGAAGACCCGAACCAGCCATGGTTAGGAACGGTCTTAGGTGTTGCCATAGTAACGATGTGGTATTGGTGCTCGGATCAGGTGAGATATATATTGGATGAAACCAATAGTTTGGCGATTTACCGTGACGTATTTCGTAAAATCGTGGTTACTGTAAATCTGCTAAACACCATTTTGTATTCCCGGACTCTGAGGGACACTCGGTACGCATGATGCAAAACAAACACGAGTATTTGAGGTGGTTGTAGTACATGTTTAGGTTATTAAAAAATAGGTATATGTTTCCAAAATGATAAGATAAACGCAAAGAAAGATTTATTTGTCAAGTTTGGTGTCTTGTTTTCTTTTGTGACTCTCCCCCTTGTTTTTGTTTAATGCTCCAGTTCACCAGTGTAAGGAAGTACTACTTCCTCCTCCATGGAAGTAGCACGTCGTTCGAGTATTATGGAGCTAGTGGTCTCCGAATATAATATCAAATGTCAATATTTTAACGTATGAATCGTGAATATATTCCGTAGAATAAAATGAAAAAATATGAGCCATAATCTTAATCTATGTTTACACTACTTGAACGCAGACTTTATGCCAAAATAAACTTTAATTTTTTTCTCTTCATACTAGATAATGACGCAGTATATATTTGCCGCCAAGAGTTTGTCCCATGCTAAAGGAAGCGTGTTATTAGCAGGGTGTCTTCTCATATTACCGTTATTTCTTATTGTTATACCTGGAATGCTAGCAAGAATGTTGTATGTAGGTGAGCATCATAAATCGACCTAGTATCCGGAAGTGACGTTACCACGCGAATTGCGGCCGAGCTCCAACTGCGATCGTGCACTTTACACAGGAGGGGCCAACATATGTGTAGATATTCAATCCCTGATATTGAGGTTATTGATTTTATATTATAATATTTACAACAATTATTTCGCCCATGCTGCTGTCTTGGATATACTTTATGTAAATGTATTTTGAATTTCAGCTGTACATTTTGAAGTATAAGTTACGACATTTTGACGTTGAGTGTTTTTCCTATTTTAGATCAAGTTGGGTGTTTAACGTATATTGACTGCTTTGTTGCATGCAGGGACTCGCGAACGTGTTTCCATATCGCGTACCCAATGTTAGTATCTCAACTCTCACTTCCTACAGGTAAGATCTCGCGTTGTATGTCACGTGGAGTGACGCTGTATTGGTCATATTTGAATTCAGTGACTGAAGGGAAGTTATGAGTGGCAGTGTCACGTGATAGAGAAGGGTGTTCAAAATTGATATGGCATAACCTCAAGATGTCGCAATATGAGGGAAATGTATGCATTGATTGTCACGTGATCACCACATATCAACGTTTAGAGCAGAACAGAAATAGTAGATCTGTACCGTGCATTATTGGAATTTTAGCCGTGTTAATCGTCACATGATGTCATATTACCAGTGATGTCAACATTAATTCTTTTATATTGTTTTCATTGAACTACACTCATTATGCATTTCACGGTCTAACGTCACCGGGTGGGATAATTTGTCTATATTTTGCAAAATTGTAATTGATAAAATATTTCTGTTCCGATATATTTAATGCATTCCCTTGAAACGAAGATTCTATGATGTACACGTGTGAGAATTTGAGCCCGAGGTAAAAGGGAAATTTTAATCCAGTGAATTTTGCTGCTAAATCAGTGCATGTGGCATCCACTTACGTTGTTGTATTACATATTTAGGAATACGTGGGTTGCTATTGGTAACCATCATGGCTGCATCTATGAGTTCATTGTCATCGATATTTCATGGCGCTTCTACTACATTCACACTTGATATTTGGAATAGAGTTCGTGGTCATGTCATCAAAGAATGGGAATTGATTATTGTATACAGGTGAGATACAACATGTCAAACACCGCCGTAACCTTCCATGCCCATATTTGGGTCGTATACCTCTGTACCTTTGTTATCACCCCACGTGTGTTATGGAAACCATTCATTCGAATTTATTTGTTATTGCACAATTTTACAATGTCCCTTCGATAGCTCAGTTGGTAGAGCGGAGGACTGTAGTGGTCATTTGCTGTTATCCTGTTATCGCTGGTTCGAATCCGGCTCGAAGGACTTATTTTTTCAATATTATTTTTTCTATTTAACTCACTTTATGAATGTTTACCTGAATGAATTACTCAAAATAACGGCACAAATAACCAAAAATATGAGTCGTCACTGACAGAAATTTGAAGTAACAGTACTAAAAAAATGTGATGTTCGTCTTCCGATCAGCGTGACAGTATTTGCGAACGTATCGTCGCATTTCGTTGTGGGTAAAGTCAAGTGCGAAAAACTGCATTCGTGTGTTATTTTAACTAACTTTACTCTTTGCAGAATGTTTGTTGCAAGTTTAGCATTCATGACTATATGGTGGATACTTGTTGTACAAAACTTCCAAGGAGCAAAAATATTCGTGTTCATCCAATCAATGTACTCCTATTTTTCACCGCCATTATTAGTCTGCTTTCTGCTTGGAGTCACGTGCAAAAAGGTCAACGAAGAGGTAAGATATAAACCGGTGAAGGACATTCGTATATGCATAGAAGAAGTTTGCATTTTATTCTGTGAAAATACTGAACAAAGCAACTGTGATTCATAGGGAAATCATTCTATTGTGAAAAAAACATTTCACTTATTAATATTTCTTTTTTATTACTAGTTTTTTTTTTTTATAATTCGGTTAGCGACCTGTGACGACACAAGGATAACTGTACGTCATGATTGTCTTGAAAGCGATAATCAAGGCAGCACGCGTGGGTCTGTCGAACACAACGCGTTGCGGCGACCGCGGGACTTTAATAGTCATACAACTGACTGACCTCATTCTTCCTATAGGGTGCATATTGGGGAATGGTCTTTGGGATATCATTTGGTGTATTTAGAACCTTAATGGACGTAGTGTTCGGTGTATCTACATGTGAAAGGCCGGCAGATGGTCCCTATCTTCTGCATAGAATCAATCATCTGTACTTTTGCATCATATCAACTTTTATTTGTATATTGGTTACCTTGGTGATAAGTGTTGTGACAAAACCAATTATACCAGAGCATGAGGTAATTCTAGTAGTATTTTAGTTAGTCTGTATTACCACAGTAACCATAGTTAGGTTTACTCACCTAGTGGAGACGAGCGAACATAGCACGGCCTGGAAATGCTACGCGGAGTGCGCCCTCTACAGAGAACTCAACTCGCCGGCATTGTTCATGCTTAGTCTGGGTCGATACAGAATATGCTAGAATACTTGACTGATCCGTCTACCTTGGTTTGCACATTTCCATCAGTACAAACATTTATCATGATTATATCATCACAAACACTTTCCGTTTTCGACATTGTAAAATTCTTTCGTGTTTAAGGAGAAACGTACAGTATTGTCACAGAGTAAACTCATATTTATTACAGTTATTGTTCATACATGAGTTGTTGAACACATTCAACATTTTTTTAATTTAGTTCTCAGTTATAATTCAAGACAAATGAAATGCGAAAATACAAAACAAATTGTACATATGGTACATTCGTATATATTAACTACATATATGTATTTTAAATTCTCCTCTAAATGCTGTTATCTTCTCTGTAATTAAAAGCTTGCCAGATTGACATGGGGAACAAGATACGACTACCCACACCGCAATAGAATTGAAAGTGGTAAAACATTGAGTAAGATTAATTCGAAAGTGGAAAGTGAAGAAATCGAACTAAATTCCACAGGTAAGCAGAGTTAACAGAAATCACGTAATAGTAATTTAGAAATTACGTAATAGTAATTTACATACATAAGCCCTTTGTGACATTGATATACAACTGGTACGGAATCACGACAACTAGAAGCCTCTCCTCTTATGGTCTGGTCTACATTCGACTGAAGGAGTTTCAATGATTTGTATTTCACATGGGTCGTGTACTGTGACGTCATATGTGACTGATTTGAGTAATAGCGAATTGGAAATTCAAAAGTGTTCATAGCACTATTGAAACAGCGTGTTATTGATATGAAAAACAAGATAGGTTTGATCACGTGTGCTCGGGGGACTCTAAGGTTATATTGTAACTTCAAAAAGTAAGTTGCAACCAGCATGATAGCTTGTACAAATAAACTGACCACAGACTGACTTGGTAAAGCCTCGTTTTACAAATTATAGACTGAGAGTTCGCGAGGGGCGGCTTACAGGCACAGACTTGCAAGACTGAATTTTATGTAGTCATTATCTGACTTTTATGCAGTAATCTGAGAGTCACTTATACCAAGATGTTACTGGTCATTTCCAACTGCCAATAAATATATGTAATGCATTCAGAATTTTATATGAATTAATCTATGTCAGGATGACATGTGTTATAGATATATAGATCTCCCTCTTTATTGTCAATAGATATATTATTATATTTGCACATAACTGTACTTTGTGTTAATTTAAAAGGGGAAGTCAAGCCAAACAACATAATGCCCCTTAAAGAAATACCTCCACTAATGTAGAAGAATACAATATATATGAAAAGGCTGTAAATTGCATGTTCTTACATTTGCCGAGCTCTTTCATCTTGGAGCATTATGTTGTCAGACTTGACTTTTCCTTTAAGCTTTAGAAATTATGTAGTCATGTGAATGTGGCCTTAAAATAACAATACATTATTATAATGATCGCGAATAATGCATATTAATATGTGTGCCCCATGTTTTTTATAGGAGACGTGACAGCAAGGAAACGACGACGAAAACAGATTCACAAAAAATGTTGTATTAAATCAGACATTGTAGAAACAAACATGCCATCTATCGTCCAGGAGAAGAAATGTCGATGGATTTTGAACATTGGCGCATTGCTGTTAGGAGGGATAACACTTGCTCTTTTTGGTTTCTTCCATTAAAATAAAAGTAACACTTTACTGTAGAAAAAGAAACATTTACATTTTGAAAATATATGTGTATTTAAATATTATAAATTTACATTATGATTAAATCAGTTATCAGTTGCCTTTCAATCTCTGAGTCTATATTGTTCTATTTGTCTATTTTGTGAACGCATGGGAGTATACCTTTTTGAAGCTTTTAACATTCCTACCAATAACTACGATAAAGACTTTCCGTTTTCCACATTGTGAAATTCCTTCGTTTTTTGGGAGAAAAAACCCTAAACAAGCAGCCTCTCGGCTGAGATAGCTCCGCTGTTAGCAATGCACATTTCAATTAAAGAACAGAAGATATCATTAGAAAACGAACAATATGTATAGTAAGTATAGTATCAAAACAATCAGACTTGCGGTTTTCAACAAGAAGTGGAAAATATCACTTTTTACCAAAAATTACAAAAATATTCATCAAAATTAAAGAATTGAAGATATCATCATGAAATGAACAAATCTGAGTTAGAAGCACACGTAGTGCCTATACATGTAATATCAAAGCAATTGGACTTGCGGTTTTCAACAAGAAGTTGAAAATATCACTTTTTACCTAGAGAATTAAAGATATCATTACAAAATGAACAAATCTGAGAGAGGTCCACATGTCGTACCTATACACAGTCAGCTGGCGCACACGTGATAATAAAATAAATACGATATTTACTATATGGGGGCTGCCATCTTGAATGACGCATAAAACTAAATAAGTTGTGAAACGCGTTTTTCAGATTCCTACAAATCAAGATAAAAATACCAATCTTTCACAAAAATACGGTCCGTTTGAGTTATATTAAGCCAACCGATAACAAAATTCTGCCGAATTCGGCGTTTTTGTGTGGAAAATCCCTTGCATACGAACACCTAATTACGCGAAGAACCTAGAACACTAAGCCCCGGCTTAGTTGAAACCGAAATTGTCATCTAAGCGTTAGGCCGTC